ACACACACACACACACACACACAGTCGGAGGTGAGGAGATGGCAGTGACACACGTTAGATGTGATCAAGGAGACAACATTTCCTTTGACTCACTGCATCCTGACTTTGTGTCAGTGAGATGTTGGGTTGCCTATTGTTTTTGTTCTGGCTTTAATAAAGACCTTTTTGATCACTTCTTCTATAAACAGCCTGAACTATAAACAGCTGAAAACCTTTTTTATTTCCAAGTCATTCAAACCTATTATTTAGGATGTCAGTGATCTATGAGGCACTGAAAATCAAATGAGCTTAAATTTCATTTTCAGCTACAAAGGATGTTTTGAATGTGCTGCAGGTCATAAAGTCAGAAGTTATGTTTCCATTAGGGTATTTCCACTTCCATCAAAACCATTTGTGTACGTGTTTACCGCCTGGTGCACAATGTACCATTTCTACAACCTACACATGTCACATTTGCTGATGCAACAATGTACCAACACTGCTACACAAACAATTTCCAGGACTGATTATTTGTATATTTAGATTAACTCCAGAAACTGCTGATGCTACACAGGACCTGCCTCCACATGTTTACGCTCCTGTGATGCCTTTATGAATGTAGGTCATTACAACACACATTATTGCATCACGCAGGTATTTCAGGTTTCACCAAATGATTTGCCTCCTGGGTAAAAAGTGTGCGTTACAGCAATGCTGCTTTATGAGACCTGTGCATGCCACACTAGCAACATGCAGGCCTGCACTAATGTGCACCTGTCTCAAGCCTCGACAGCAGAGACACACGATGATGACAAATCATGAGGTCGGTGATAACAGGTTTAATGTTTTAGTTTTGTAGTTTTTTAAGTTTGTGTAGAACAAAGATTTCTCAACACAAACGTATATTGTTTCTTAAATACAACTTTCATGTGGAGATAATGCTCATCAGTACCTGAGCTTCTACTGCCACCTTCTGGTGAAAGAGGGTGCTGCACTGAGAAAAATGGGGCCTTGTTTCTATCAATGGAGCAGTGCCCGTTCTAAACCTTATGTTTGTACTGAGCTGTTCTCTTGTCCTGTGTTAAAGCGCTGGAGCTACTTCAGAATTATTCCTTATCATTAGTGTGTCCTCCTTAAAACAGTTCTACAATATACTGTCACTTTATATTGTTTGTGTGATGGAAGTTGTGTGCAGAGCTTTTTATGAACAGTCTACGGGGCAGAGTTACATTCATCCTGGTTTATCTGCACTGAAGATTATATATTATAATATAGTCATTACTTTTCATAAAATGAAACTGAATTATTACCGTTAATAAGTGTGAAGTTTATATATAAAAATAAATGATTCACTGAACTAGTGTTATTTTTTCATACACTGGATGTGGGCTATTTCAGAGGTCTGTTAAGCAATCAGCTCAATCCTCAACCCATGTTTATGACTAAAAATAAAAGCTCAGTAAACAAGCAACAAAGGGAACATTGTGCTTTTACTTTGAAGACAAATTGCCTAACAGAAAGGGATTTTGTAAAGGTTGTTACCATGACGGAGAGATCTGGACCCGTGACTCCAGTGAATGTTTGTACCACCCTCCTAAACAACCTAAATGAACGGTGTGGTAACTTGGCCACACTTAGTTTTAGTAGGACGTACACTCATCCAGTTTGAATACAACAGTTCTTACAATAAATAAAGATTATAATGTTCAGTCTGTGCTGAAACTTTAGATCATCCGTGTTCTCGACAGCAGACAAACCTCCCTCATTGATTTGAAAATGGTGGACAAAATATTACACAAGCTATCAACAGCTGTGAAAATAATGCAAAGCAGTTCAACAGCTCCAGCACCAATGATCATACAGCTGAGTGAACACCTCTTCAACACAGTTTCAACAAACACTGAAACCTTCATGAAAGTAGGATTTACCTCGTTAGTCTGCTAAAAAGACAGAAACAGTGGAACAAACCTGGCAAACTTTTCTGTGTATCCCGTCTTCCCCTGCTGTATGACGTGGATGAAGTCGTGCGTGAGGATGAATGGTACACGCTCCCTCTTGATGCCAAACTTGGACTTGAAGTTGCCCAGGATGTGGCCGAAGTCTATGTGGAAGAGCTGACAGAAAAGAGAGCAGCCCGTCAGTGAGGATTGTGGAAGCAGGAAAAACCAACAGAACCTGTATCATTTACACAGATAAATGTCTGACCTGTCCAGTGCTGCGGACCATGATGTTGTCACTGTGGCGGTCTCCGATGCCCAGAACATAGGTGGCTACACAGTAGCCTGCACAGGACAGAGTGAACTCCTCGATGGCCCGATCCAGAGCATCACTGTTGATACACAACATTCATGTTGGATACACGTGAGCAGATTTTCACAGAGTTAAGTCAGAGCAGCTCCTCCGAGCTTCAGTCATCATCATCATCATCATCATCTCACCCAGAGTTTCTCTCTTTGAGCCAGTTGAGCAAAGCGTCCTTGTTGAAGGCGGCAGCTGCTGCCACATTGCTGCTGGTCAGCTGGATGTTGGCGATCGTGTCCGCAGAGGAAACAACCTCGATCAGCCCTGCCCGGTCACCTGTCGCTAGGCAACCGTACGGTACAATTCTGCATATATAAAGGAAAAAGAAGCAAAGAGCACAGAAAGACATCACCACCTCATGATCCACAAAAAGACGACAGGTATTAAAAAAAAAAAAAAAAAAGATTCTTATAAGTCTTCTGAAAGTTCGTCATCTGAGCAAAGTTGAATGAATATGAAGCAAATTTTCTCCAGCTTACTTTGCAGACAAGTCCCTACCTGCCCGGGCCTGTATGACTTGGTGACCACACATGTTCATAGTCCCAACGGAAATTCTACCACAGATAAATGGACCTCTGACATTTGTATGTTTAGTTTCAAGGCTCAGAGGATTCAAAGTGAAAAGAGGAACTACTCTGTTTATATGTTCTTTCCTAAATACGAAAATGTAAGATCATCTGTGTAACTTGTTTAAAATGTATTTAAAAGATGAAGATATTAAACTGTGGTTTATTTGTAAGTTCATTCATACACGAGTCCTCTGAATTCACTCCACTGTAAGTCGTACTGGAGAGACACATGATCTTCAGAACATAACCCTAACCCTATTACATTTTCTGCTTTGCTCACTTCAACTGACTTGTTTTCACTTTTGTCTCAACAAGATGGCACAAGCTGTTCATTCAGCAGGCTGCAGCATTATGTGACCTGGAATACATTTCTAAGAACAGTTCAAAGTCATCTCTAGATTTCATTTGCAGTTTGACACAGGTTTAATGGAGACCAAATGCCTTTAAGCAATTTTTTTACTCAGCTTGATGTGATGTGATGATGGCACTGAGTTTAAATGATCTAAACAACTAAAACGACTGCAGGTGGACAACGAAACATAGATTCTGGAGGTAGAATACATCAGCAAGGCATCGCCAAACAAACCTGCATGCACCGCACCATGGTGATTTTGTCTTAATCTTAATGTCCCCTCACTGCGTTCAAACTCTGAACCCATGTCCCTGTAACCTGAAACACAGTTCTCGAGCTCAACTGTCAAAACAGACCGTCGAGTTCTCAGCTCCAGATGTGTCAGAATATGACGAAGAGAGAAAAAGTGTTTCGAAACGTGTGGATTTGATTAGGATGTAATGCAAATATCGTGTGTGTGTGCGTGGATGTCTAGGGTGTAAAAAGGGTCAGAGGTCAAACTAGCATGGGGTAATTTAGTGTCTCCCCCTCCTCTGCTGTACCCCACCAGAGCTTCCCCTTCCCCACAGAGAGCAGGAACAAACAGCTTGACAAGGTCTGACCGTTAAACACACACACACACAAGCACGAAAACTCACCTGAGGTCTAGATTTGCCTCCTTCCACAGCAAATCCATCAACCTCAGAATCTGGAGCGTCAACATGTCTTGCCTTAGGTCTACGAAAGGAAAGTGAGTGAGGAATAAAAGTTGTTAATTTTAAAGGGAAACATTTATTTACTCAGAAGATGAAAAGTGATATCAGATCATGACCCTGTCAGTAGTTTGCCCTCTTCCTCCCACTTCTCCTTTGTATCCTCCTTCCCCAAGCTCCGTCCGCCCCCCCCTCTTTATTATCATCCCCCTACCGTCTCCATTCTTGAAGATGATTCCCAGGGTGTCTCCCCCCATCAGCTTGTTGTTGTAAACAATCCAGAGCGGCTTCATCTTAGAGTCCATGTACCGACACCTCTCCACGCTGATGAAAGAGTCGAAGAGAGACGGGGAATGAGGCCAAGCACGGGAGAACAAGGTCTTGTCTCCTCTCCATTAAAAAAAATCTCTGTCCACACAATCTCTATTTTACAAAAATAGCTCCATTCGGACGATAACAAAATAATGACCACAAACACTGAAACAAGCACGCTGGGTCACTTGTACACCTGTGAGATTATCTTCATTTCTCAAAGGCTCTGTTTAATATGTACACACAGGAACAGTTTTTAAAAACCTGCACTTTGGAAGGTGTTGGTTAAAAAAGTTTCAGAGATGATGATTAAAATAATGTATGTCTGAGGATGAAATATCTGCATTACTGTGGACAGGGCATGTAACTCTCATACTCAGAAACATTAGAGTTGTCTTACTTGATGCCAGACAGCAGGACACTGGGGTTTAGAGGCGAGTGCAGGTCGGACAGAGTCTCTGAGTAGCCACTCTGCCTCAGGCAAGTCATCATGGCCTCCTTGGTCAACATTGCCTCCTTGTTCTTACTCCGGACATTTTTGGTGGTTCCCAGCTTTATCAGCTCATTGACTGCCTTTAGCTTACTCAGGGCTTCCACCTGGTGGAGTCAAAAGATGCAGCGTGTTAATGTTGGAACGGATTACCACGGAAGGATGTGGTATGGGTCAGGGAAGACGCCTGCTTTAACATTTCAACGCTTATCAGAAAATAATTCATGGATCTTGATTTAAAAAATCGGACATGTTTAGGGGACTAAAAGTAATGAGTGTGTGAAATTTGTTTGGCTTCAATTAAGCGAATTTAAATTGTGCTTTCACAAGCACGGGCAGGGCTGTTGGGCTTTGGTGGATGTATGCACTCTACTGAGCGCCCTTCTAGTCCCCTTTTGTAATTGTCCCTGTTATACCAATTCATTGAGTCCATTCTCCTTAAACAGGCTATGTTAGCATTGCAATCCCAACCCACTGTGCAGTCTCTTCAAAACAGGAAGTGGAGAGATAAATGACTGCTCTGATGAGGAAGTAGGAGGAAATGTCCAGAGGAGTGACCGTCAAAACCAAAGGTTAGAGGTCATAGGGGTGACGCTGGTGTCCCTGCGACAGGCTAAAAATACCATAAATATAGTCCTGCGGCAGAAAACAATAAACCTCAGCTATTCTGACCTCACAGTTAGGGCAACAAGTTTCATCGGAGTCTGAGGCAGAGCTACAGAAAATAAGAATGAGATATGGTCTTGAGAGGCAAAAGAGAAACAGAAACAATGTGTGAGATCATGTGTGAAGGAATATAAAGGAGAATGTGTGTGTGAGATGTACCTGTTTCTTAAGAACCTCAATGTGAGGGATGCTGCCTCGGCAGTAGGCTTCCAGGATGAGGGAAAACTGGACTGAAACAGCTGGCATGTGGATCTCTGACCTGTAGGGGGCAGCAGAGAGACAACAGTCCCAGAAATTCAACCTCAAGACTCAACTGTTGCCATTGATGCAGGTTACATCATTTACTTTCTTGTGTACAGCACAAAGGTTTTCATGGCGAGACACACACACACACACACACACACACACACA